ATACACTCGTGACTATTCAACCGAGGTACTCGAGAATCACTCACAAAATGAGGATCGGAGTTTAGTAACCTTGGTTTTACAATAGCCTTTACAAATTTATTTTTGGGTGCAAAAATTAAATGCAGAAATTTAAACCAATCATCCAAAAACAGTAAAAAGTTATGAGTTTAAGGGATTACCCTTGTAGCACAGCAACAAACAATTTTATTCCTACAAGACAGTAGGAAAATCACATAAAACAAAAAACAACAAACCTATTCTCTTTTATAGAAAATAGGGGTTAGCCAAAAAAATTTACCCAAAAAACAGAACACTAACTCGAAAAATTTGTTTCTCTTCTAACAAAATGTTAGAATCCCCGAAACAGATTGTGATTTCACAATGTCGACACAATGAACAAAACACAGAATGACAAGGCTTAATGATTTAAAGATTTCAAACGAGATTTGGTTTGAAAAATATAAAGATTTTCAAAAAATATTTACCAAAAGTTTTAAGATTCCAAAAAATCTTTTAGGTTTTGACTCCCCAATAATAGATCCGCAAGGATCTTTAACAAAACTTTACAAAAAATAGAGACGACATTATCCGATTTACAGTTATTATTAAAAGGAAGCTTGAAAAACAAAATTCGTTTATCAAAAATAAAACGATTTTGTAACAAACTAACCAGATCTTGACTTAAACTTAACGAAACTACACAAATCTGTAGCGATTAAGTCACTATCTACACAAATCACACACGACCGAGGCTAAAAAGCATAGATCGAGTGAGATCTTGGCCGGTATCTAACAGATCTACTAGGGAAAGAATCGAAATGCCAAAAAATCGTTCGATTCAACCAGATCCTTTCGTAGATCTAAAGACTTTCACCCAAACAACCTCAAAACCAAACTCAATACTCGATTTCGAAACCGTAAAACACTAGAAAGCTCTGATACCACTTGTTATAAAAAATATAAATGGATCTAAAGATTTTATTAAAGAAATCGAGTAACAACACAAATATTGAACTAGTTTGGTTAGGCTCAGCCCCAACCAACTCGGAAAATCACAAAATCGACACTATACTCACCTAAACTAGCGACTACACAAACGAACCGGCCACAACCATGATACACACTATATATAACCCCATACAAACACAAACAAGGCACCCGAAGGCCTACAATGTCGAGCGAGCCCCTTTCGGCTACGAACGACTACACAAAGGGGAAAAACAAACGTGCCACAGGAACTCCACAATATTACAGGAGGAAGGCAACACCGAGAAACCGCCGTGAACTGCCGCGAAAGTCACCGGAGAGGAGAGCAGTAGGTCGAAAGAGAGAGGGGAGAGGCCAGAGAGTAATGCGTAGAGAGAGAGTGAGATTAGAGAGTAATGAATATAATGACTCTCTCTATATATATATATACATGCCAATGGAAATGGACGGCCCAGATCAAGATCCGTAATCAACGGTCCAGATCAGCCCTCGCAAAAAAGGATGTGGATCCTAGGCGGGTCACGGGCAAGGGGCGCAGCACAGGTAAGGGTCAGCAACGGGTGTGGTTGTGGTGTGGGTTGTGTATCACAAGCCAGGCCTGATTCAATTGGGCTGCTTAATTATTGGTGTGTAGTGTATTGGGGTGGATCCGAAGGACAATAAATCCAACAACATGCAATAAAAGCAAAGGTCTTCTCATAATTAATGTCACATTCCTATGAGTAGCCTTTCACAACTTAGCTTTGTAACGCTAAGTGGGTTTTGATCTTGAAGACTCATTTGCAGAGAATAGGTCTTTTACCTTGATGAAGATCAACTAAGTCCGATGTATACGTCTTTTTTAAAGCCTGCAACTATTTTGACATAGCTTGTTGCTACAACAGCTCAAAATTATCTTTACGAAATGACGTAGGCTCATGCAAAGACATGATTGAATAAAAGTAATAATATTCATGTAGATAAGTAGAAAGATGACTTACTCGATGTGAGCAACAAGGTAAAACATATCCTGAAATCATAGAAAGGGTTTGCATCATGAGAAGAGGTCAGAGGTAGATCAGAAACCTCAATTGGAACAAAATATGGAAACAAAGATGGAACCGTAGAGTTGGCCAAAACAACATTAGACACTACAAAAAAATATCTATTTAGCTAGAATATTTTTAACTACGAAATATTTTTATAGTTAAAACGTGTAATTTATCAAAAAAAATTAATTTGGTCGCTAAAAATAAATTATGTACTACAAAAGTAATTGCATTGCTAAAATTCTTTTGCCAGAAAATTCTATTTTCATAGCAAAATAGTTTTAGCTACACAATCATCTTTCATAGCTAAAACCTTTTGGCTACAAAAATCATGTATATTTTGTTGCTAAAATTCTTTTGTTACGAATTTTCTTTTTATAGCAAAAAAGCTTCAGCGAGGGAATCATATTTTCGTAGTTATACCTCTTTTCTTAACTTTTAATGCAAAAAACTTATATTTTATTTAAAAAAGTCAACTTTTTTCGTGAAAGACCTTTACCAGCGTGGTATAGGCGACGAAACTCAATTCGTCACAAAAATATTTTGCTACGAATTCATTACCTTTTGCTACAAATTTTTTTATAGCTAAATTTCAATTTTTTTTTTTTTTTTTTTTTTTTTTGTGGTGAGAAAAAACAGAAAATAGAGGAGGACATGACGATAGGAATGGGCTGAACCCCGGATAGAGGAGACATGAAATTTCGATACAGAGGAAAAATGACACTCTCTAAGAAGGTAACATCACAAGAATGTACAATTATTTAGAGATCAGTTCCTAAAGCCTATAGTCATTACTCTCTAAGAAGCCTATAGTTCCTAAAACACAGATGAGCATAAGGTTCCAGCTTGTAATGTTCACATAACCAAATATATGTAATAGGCTATAATCAAGTGGTTGATCATATAGACGTTCATAAATTATAACATCATGGAGAATAGATGATGGAAGACAATTTATGATATAAACCACAGTAAGATAGCTTTCTCCTAGAATTTATCAGGACAGGAAGTTGGTAGAAGGAAGACAAACATGGTATCTAGAATATGACTATGCTTACACTTAGCCCATTTATTTTGTTGAGAGGTATGAAAAGAACCATGAATCCTTGTAACCTCAGCAAAAGTTATAATAATAATAATAATAACTTAACAAAATAGAATCCATATACTCAAGTTTGTTATTAGTAAGGAGGATCTGTACGGAATATGAGAATGAAAACTAATCACATGGACATATTAAATGTATACTTTAGATGATTTCAAACATTGTTTAAAAAAATATATTCATGTAAACTGTGAATAATCATCTGAAATTATGATATAATAACGAGACCCACCCACAAGAAAATTTGGCAATGCATACTTACTGATAAAAAGAATATATAAATGATATGATTGACAAAAAATAAAAAGATAACCAAAGAAACTCAATTTATGATTCTTACTTATAGCCTTATCAAACTCTAATCACAATTAAACAGAGGAACAAGATATTACTCAAACCTAGAATAAATCAAATTATAACAAATTTAGACAGTTTTATGTTTTCAAAGATACGAGGGAAAATAGGAAAATAATCTTCAGGAAGATCATTCAAATTCAGAGGTTCTTGAAGGAAATTTGCATTGTGGATAATGTTGATGAAGGATGGAGTTGGCCAAATTAATTCAACACATGATTTGTACCTAGATTGACACGCCTGACCGTGTATAATTGATAACCAATATAATTTTCTTACCCACATAGTTCAATAGAACAATTGGATTAAGAATATGTATAAAAAAAAAGAGAAGGAAGAAAAAAGGATAGTGCAGAGAATGTGAATTAATATGGATGATAATCAACCACGAGAATAAGTCTCGGACCTGAAATCAAACCATAGATTAAAACACAAACAATAGACTAAATTATACTGTAAAGGATTGGAAGCCACGAGCCAATGAAATCACTCCAAAGACCCGATTTGACATATATGGGAGGAAATCACATCCTAACACTAGACAAATATTGAGAGGGAACAATAAATAAATTTTATTCAAGATTCACTCTCCCTATTACAATAGACAAAGACTTTATATAGAGATCCTTAAGAAAAATAAAAGACAAAAAACAAATAACAAGGAAAGTTATAGATATGAAATTATACTATATGGAAATTTATAATAAAATATAATATATAATTAGGTAACTTTGAGATTATTTCATAATTATTTGTTGTCTTAGTCTTGAAGTCCCGACTCTTGTGATCCTGGCCTCGGGATGACTCAGTTAGGTGACCTTTGAGTCGGATAAAAAAGAAAATGTCTAGCACATCCATCTTCAATAATCATTTTTCTGAGCTTGGACGGCCGCGTCATTCCCCTCTTTTTGAAAAGTACTCTTGTTCTCCTAAACATGATATTCCACGACTCTACGGTTCACAAGAAGACTCAATTTTCCCAAAGACAATAACAAGAAAAATCTGAAACAAAGTAGACAAGGAAAATATTATAGAGAACGAAACAATTAACGAATACCAAACATTGATTTTTTTTTTCTTTTTTTCTTTCGGATTTTTTTTTGCCTCTTTTTTCGACTTTTTTTTACGTTTTCTTTTTTCTTTTCTTTTTTTTTCAAATAGAACCATGATATCAATCAAGAGATTGCATCAACTAGCTCTGATACCAGATGACACGGCCTGACCGTGTATAATTATAACCAATATAATTTTCTTACCCACAAAGTTTAATAGAACAATTGGATTAAGAATATGTATAAAAGAAAAGAGAAGGAATAAGAAAGGATAGTGCAGAAAATGTGAATTAATATGGATGATAACCAACCACGAGAATAAGTCTCAAACCTGAAATCAAACCATAGATTAAAAAAAACACAGACAATAGGCTAAATCTCACTGCAAAGGATTGGAAGCCACGAACCGATGAAATCACTCCAAAGACTCGATTTGACATATCTAAGTGGGAGGAAATCACATACTAGCACTAGACAAATATTGAGACGGAACAATAGAGAAATTTCATTCAAAATTCACTCTTCCTATTACAATGATAGACAAAGACCTTGGAGATCCTTGAGGAAAATAAAAGGAAACAAATAAAAGGTAAGTCTAACTATAAGGAAACAAATAATAACGAAAGTTCTAGATATGAAATAATACTATATGAAAACTTATAATAAAAGGTAATATATAATTAGGTAACTTTGAGATTCTTCTATAATTATTTGTTGTCTTAGTCTTGAAGTCCCGACTCTTGTGATCCTGGCCTCGGGATGACTCGGTTGGGTGACCTTTGAGTCGGATAAAAAGGAATTGTAATGTCTAGCACATCCATCTTCAATAATCGTGTTTCTGAGCTTGGACGGCCGCGTCAAAGATACATCATAAAAAGTAAGAGTTTGGAAACAAATACGACTAGTGTCTGTAAGATCTATTCTTCGACTAAAATAATTTGACAATACAATATATTTTGAATCCAACCCTTTCAAAATTTAAGCAACTATTTAATAGTACTAAGTTATTCTAAATATTTCTATATGCCAAACAATAAATTTAAAATCCTAAAGTATTTCAAAACCAAGATAGTTCAAATTCTACCTTCAAATCTGAATCCATCTAACCTTATAGATTGTTGTAACGGATTAAGATTAATAATCGAATAACAAACAAAATTTAAAGAAGATACATATTTACGTGGTTCACTAACAACATATTGGCTACGTCCATTGGCAGAAATAGAGAATATATTTATTGAGGACGGCTACGTTACAGATTACATATTTCATATCTCTAAGTCTATTAAGAGAATACATCAGACGAGCTCAGCTCAATAACATCAGACGGGCTTAGCCCGTGAAAACTCAATGAAGTGGCAAACTAGATTCAAAATATATCAACATAGATACATAAAGCACAACTAATAATCACTCAAGAAAAGGCAAACACAAGCTGAAATAAGCTTCAACAAGGATACATACTATGCACGCGGGCACACATATATAAGCTAATTACCAACTAGACAATAAGTGCGAGTTATTCGAAACCACACTCACAGAGCGATATATATCGCAACAACAGCTCAGCGTGCAATGCCTGAAACAGTATAAAATAAACATGTTATATATATATATATATCACAACTGATAGTAATCAAAAGAAATTATTGATCAACATATATATATATATATATATATCCTCAGCCTCCTCTGCCCCAATACTCATGATGTATACATACATTATAAGTTTATGCATACCTATACATACAAAAAATTTGTATATATAGATATACAGTATTGGGGAAGGAGGCTCAGGATCTTCTGCAGGTGAAAACAGTCTTTCTTACTATATTTTGGAGATTATAGGCCGTAACCAGCAATTCTAACGACCAGCCCATCATTGCCGAGGCTCTCCTGCTCCTCTAATATGTTCCGAGCCGAAACAATGGCTGACTTGGAGCAATGCCACACCCCTAAAAACCTTAGTGTCGCGATTTCTCCAATGTCGAGAGGTATTTCATTCAACTCTGTTAACCGATAAAGCTCAAGTAGTTTGAGGCGCGGGAAATGAGTGCTGTTGGCATTCCAGTTTTTTATATTAACCAGTTCCATGTACAAGGTGTCCAAGCTGATAAATTCCCCCTCGACAGGATTCCACTCGGCGCCATGGAAGTAACAATTTTTCAACTTCAGAACTTCGAGATTTGGTAATGAACCGATCGCGCTAACATCATCCCAAAATCCGCAGCGATATAAAGACAACTTTGTAAGGGAATGCGGGAAGGATACACTCTTATACAGAGTATTTATATTCTTCATTGCTCCTTTGAAAGAGCATTTGAATGATTCGAGCTTCTGTAAACGACCAAGATTATGGAGACTGTACTGAGATGATGACTCCACATTTTGAGCATTGTAAGTGACAATCATTTTCTTTAGATCGCGGATTTTCTTCACAACACCTTCGTCGAATTTGAAGTCCACCAATCCCTTTAGCGTTCTCAAGTTTTTGAGGACTATACAACAATGTTGTTTCTGTTCTTCGCGGTGCAGATGTATTGGGGGAGAAATTTTGGCAATCTGTACATGATGAAGCTGAGGGAAATTCCAAATTACGGATGGCGCATTTATTTTATTACAAGAACTCTTAAAAATAAGAATTTTTAGATTCCTCATTTGATGCATAACATAAGCCAATCCTCCATTGATACCTTGATCAGCTATACAATCAAGGTAACGTAAATTGACAAGAGCTAACAAAATATCCCAGGGAGATGTATGCTTTCTCGTATATTTCATGTATTCGTCATCGATCACAAAGATTGTTCTCAACAATCCAAACATATGGGATCTCAAAATTGTTGACAAATCCACCTTCTTTCTTAGCTTGAGCGAAAGCTCGAATTGTTCACTATGCACGGACACAAAAGCATCGGATCTAAAAATCTTCGACAATACCTTATAGTTTCTTACAATGAGAGAGCGGGGACGTGATGTAGATAGCAAGGACTTGATATTCCGAGGATATTTTTTCTTGTTTACTCTAAGAGCAATACGACGCTGACGCTTCATGTTCGATGGAATGTTGTCAGAGCGATTTGCTGTTACAACACAAAGGAAGCTCTCCTTTTGAGCTTCCCGCAAGCTGAGTTCCCTCAAGACATCATGGATTGCGCACAACTTTAAGTTCCCAGTCGATCCCCATTCGCGAAGTATAATAAGATTCCTTTCGATAAGATCCAACAAGCAAAGCTCAGCTATTTCTTCTAGCATATAGCCATTACGTGGTTTCATAAATCCCTCTGCGATCCAAACATTTATGAGTTTAGACACACGAATTTCGTAGTCTTCTGGAAATACTCCCATGTAAAGAAAACACGGTTTGAGATGAACAGGCAAGTGGTTGTAGCTCAAAGAAAGTATTTTTGAGCAATGTTCGCTGTCATCTATATATGCGGCTGAGGTAGATTGTTCGGCAACATGCGCCCAATGTTCTATTGTTTGATCACCCTTTGCGAGGAGCCCTCCAACAACAACAATAGCTAGAGGAAGTCCTCGGCAATTTCGAGCAATCTTCTTTCCAACATCTAATAATTCAACCGGACAACTACTTTCGCCAAATACTTTTTGCCGAAGTAAATTCCAACTATTGTCCGCATCTAGATACTTCATCTCAACTCTACTAGTGCTTAGCTCTTCCGCAACATTAGAAAGCCTAGAAGTCACCAGAATTCGACTTCCATCACAACAATCCGGGAAGAATCGTTGTATACGATTCCAAATATCAATACTCCATATATCATCGAACACCATTAAATATCTTCTACCGAACAAACTCTTGTGCACTTTTTCTCCTAAACTTTCATCATCCCCTTGGGTTTTTAGAGTCGAAAGTACTTCTTTAAGAACTTCTTCGACATTATACTCTTGAGACACCGTAACCCACGCACGAACATCAAAATGTTCTACAATTATCTGATCATCGAAGATGTTTCTCGCAAGTGTAGTCTTACCTGCCCCGCCCATCCCAACTATAGGGACTACAGCCCGGGAAGGCTTCAAATCGAATGATGTAAGCATGACCATGACTCGAGCTCTTTCATCCTCAAATCCCACCATTTTGCTCGTCTCGTTGCGTGGAGCACTTGATGAAGCCGTAAACATGGTGCGATGCAGATCTTCGGCTTCGCCCTTCTGTCTGTTAGGAGCACTTGATGAACCACCATGCTCGGAACTCTCCTCTTCAATCTGCTTCATCTCATTCTTGATACAATCCATTTCTTGTGTTATTTTTTGCAGATCTTCGTATAAGATTGCCAATCCATTCTCTTCTTGAAAATTGTCGCTGGGAAGAACGCGATCCATCATGTAGGAGTCGATGGCATCTTCGGCTGCATAGGCTGCATCGACAATACGCTCCTCCAAATGCTCGGCTCCCTTACTCCCACTCTCGAGAAATTCCACCAAGAAATCAGCCCTTTCTTGGAGAGCCTCGATCAATCCTCCCTTTTCGATGGAGATCAGACGGCCACGGTGATTTCGCGGGGTCTGCTCCATAGCGATGGTGTTCATAAGAGAAACTAGAGCTGCATAAGCTGCCATATTTCAAAAGCTGTCTTCTTTGATCGATTCTATTATTGATGGGAGAATTATTTCTTGCAGAAGACTTGTTTAGCTGAGTTTATACTGAATTATTGGTGGGACAGAACACGAGAAATATAATTAAGGGCCATAGGAAGTCTTCGTAGAGTCATCCATGTATGTCCAAGAGAAGTTCCAGTATGCCACTAGTGGAATTTAAAGTGGAAACTGCTTTATCTAAATATCATTCACATCTTACCAAATCTACACATCATAAGCTAGTGTTTAAATATATTTTGGAAGTATTTTAATTCTTGAATTTTAAAAAAATGAGAATGGTTAGTAGGGATGACAATTGGCGTGGGTCCCACCCCGGCCTTTTTAATTATTTATATTTGCTGAATTATCTACTCCCTCCCTCCGTTTAGGAACAAGGGTGGCGTTTGCTATTTGGAAGTAGATTTTTGAATATTAGTATTATAATGGATTATAGTGAAAAGGACGAAAATACCGTGTAATATAAAAGTAATGACATTTGTGTGATATAGTGTAAGTTTGAACGATATTTATTATGTTAGTAAGTAGTACAATTATTAAATTAAGAAATGGTAACCTTGTTTTGGGACGGACAAAAATGGAAAATGTCAACCTTTCAATGAGACGGAGGGAGTATATATAAATATATTTTAGAAAAACAAAGAAGATTGGCACAAATTCGGCGGATTTTACAAATTTTGAAAAAAATATAATTTTTTTTTTATATGTTCTACAATTTTTATAAAATTTTGAAAAAATAATATTGTGTTTTATGTATATTTTCTTTTGTAAAAAAAAAAATTTATTTTAATTTTTACAATTCTATATCAACAAAATACTAAGTTTAAAATAAGGGTATAATAGTCATTTAAATGAATTGATAAAATAAAACCTAATTTTAGTAGATTAATTAAATAAATAGTATTATCATAAATGACTTTATTTGATTGGATGAAACAGAGGACACAAAAGAAATGAGAATAGAGGATTTGAACCCCTAGAGTTAATGGATTGGGTTTGGGTTAAAATTAATAGTATATGTTTTTTAATTATTTATATTCCCTGAATTATCTATATATAAATATATTTTAGAAAAACAAAGAAGATTGGCACGAATTCGACCGATTTTTGGGTGGGATTGATATGTTATGATGGAGCAAACTACTCCAAAATACCCTATTTAGTGGAGTTATATATACATATATATATATATATGTATGGTACTTATAAGATAACAATATTTCAACGTGGACTTGAGTTTGCACTCCTAACTTAAATTGAGGCGAGACAGGTTCTGGCCTGTGATTTTCTGGCGGGGCACTGCGAAGGCCTATAAAACCTATCCCGAATATGCCCCATTGTCATCCGTAATGGTTAGGGTATTGATTAGTCCTAATTATTACATGATAATAGTATACACATGACATAGTTTGGCATTAAAACAATACATGTCGTATGTACCATTAAGCATGTACTTCCAACTAATATTATATATCGTGATGTATTGTCTTGGTACGTGTAGTATTAGTATTTGTATTATATTAACATCTACTTTTGTGCTGAGATCAATTTTGATATTTAGTGTGTATATTTTTATGATATACTATTGGCACTATATTGGTCTGTCTTTTGAAAATAGTAAAAGATTGAATAATAAATTAATCTTTAATGTGATATAAATAAATATTATATAATATTTTATATATAAAAGATGTTTTTAATAAGATATTTTAATATAATAATTTAAATAAAAAATAAAAAATAGTGTCACAAGAGATTTGAAAACATCCCTAAGCATAGACTATTATTTCTTACTTCTCCACATTTTCCTATGTCCACCCATCGACAAGAAGGGTCATTCATTCATACCCATTTCTCGTTTATGAGCCGGAACCGTTTGTTAACAAATAAATTACCACAGAAATATAATTAATAAAATAAAATAAAAGTCGAACCCTATGAATATATTGGCTGGCTGAAGCTGGGGGAATGTGACGTGCAATACAAATCTAATTACAAAATGATGTCTACGAAATAACAATCAATACCAAGGCTGCAAGATTTTGCTTCATCAACGTGTTACGACTATTTTCTATTTTAGTATATAGACAAAACATTTAACCTGTGTGCACGTTGTTAGTGTAGCTCAAAAATAGCAAAAGAATTTTTATTGTTGCAGACAGTTGTAGTCATTTTGTTGATGTGTTTTTTCAACAATAAAAAGTAAAATCCGAAAATAAAGAAATATCTCCGAATTTGATAGATGAGTGCTAAGATTAGAGATCTCTAAACACCGTAGAATATATAGAATAAAATAAGAAAAATAAAATAAAAGACTGGAAAATAAAAGTGGTGATCCCAAAACAATTCTCTTGAATTTGATGTCAGTTGAAGATCCCTCCTCTGTAAATCCTTAAATAACCCCTTGAAGATACAGTTCGAACCGCTATCCGATCGGTTACCATAACCGCTGTTAACTCCCCCAAAAAATTCTCTTCTATCGACACGTATGAGAACCGTCCTACCACGTCCGACCTTTGAAAACCGCTCGCCAGTTGAAACTACCCTCCACTATCAGAGACTGTTTTTTTACCCGACCTGCAGGATAGCTACTTTTACTACCTGACCTTTGAACTTGGTCCGACTTCAATGTCCGACCTTCTTACACCCGACCTTTGGAATTTGTTCCGACTAGGTCCGACTTCACTATCCGAACTATTTAGTCCCGACCAGGTCCAATCTCATCATCCGTCCGACTTTCTTACACCCGACCCTTGGAATTTGTCCTGACTAGGTCCGACTTCAATATCCGAACTATTTGGTCCCAACCAGGTCCAATCTCATCATCCGTCCGACCTTTGGGATTAACCCGACTAGGTTTGACCTTAACATCTGACCCTAAGCTCATCCGACCCGGTTATTGCAGTCATACTTGGACTTTCAAAAAGCCCACTAGACGTTTCGAATAAATTTTAACCTAATCTTGGCAGGCCCATTCCCTAAAAACCTATCCAACATTTTTTTGTGCTCAACAACCGTCATTTTGTCTTATTCCATTTGAAACCCTGAAATGAATAGATTAATATGGTCAAACCGATGCCAAGTGTACAGAGAAAAACCCCATAATACTTTGGTGAAAAAGAAAAATTAATGACATTATTTTTTATGATTAACAATGTGGCTGTTTAATCACTCCGAAACAAAAAGTTGATCAGAAAATGTATTGAGAGTCCAATTTTCTAGATTAAGAAATTATCATTGTGCTCTCAAACTTATCCCACATCCTCCCCATGTTCTAAACAAGACTATATCATTCTAACTCGCCGAATGAGTTACTAGAGGAAAGAGTTATTGGAGATCCAATTGGAGATGATGACCGGCTGTTGAGTTGCATTACTCTCCGCTAGTTGAAAGTTGTTGGTGTTATTAAGGTTTAGCAACGACTAGTTACTTGTACAACATTTGCATAAAAGCTATGAAAGAGAAAATGAGTTGAAGGAGTTGCTTTGTTGTTGAGTCCAATAATTAGAATAGATTATAGTGATATTATTCCTAAAATAGTATCCCCAGATGCAGGTTAGTTATAATCGAACTGGGTCAACAAACTCTTATGTCATTTATTGCTTCGGTGCGCCTGTATTTATTTCATTAATATAGAGTTATGATTACTGTAAGTTTACCATGATGTAACTGTCTTATTTTTTAAAGTATGGGTCATTCCACTGTTATGCATTTATTCGGGGAGTTGGCCCTTTTTGTAGTTCGATTGAAGTTGTTCGAACCCATTTTCCAACAAGATATATGTTGTAATTGGCTTTGGTTGCTTTTCCATTTTCACAGGTTCATCAGATGATTAATTGACCCAATTTAATATGTTCTTGCTCTCAGCCTAAGTCGAGGACTTTAGAAAATTTTTGTGCTAGTGATTTGATTCATATATTGAACTGTTTCAAAAGAATTTTTTCACATGTTGAAGAATATACACTACAAAAAAATATCAATTTTGTAACGAGATTTTTTCGTTCTTAAATTCATTTTTTCCGTTACTAATGATATTAGAGACGGAATTAGAGATGAAATTACGTTAGCTACGTGAACTTTAGGAACGAAATTTCGTTACAAATATACTTTTTTTTTTGTAGTGATATCTCAAGGTTGGTGAGTTAATTTTGCAAAAATGGATGGTACTGCAAAAGGTAGACGAATAGTAGCGTAGCTAGCAGGGGACCCAAGGGTGTTGGTCCCTCTTAATTATTTTAATTTTTTATTTTTATTATATAGTATTGGTATAATTTTAAAAATTTAAGTAGTTGATCACCCCTATATATTTAATAACATTATTATTATTACACATATTCAATTAAAATATCCAAAAAAAAAAAAAAAGTTCAAACACCCAAGATATTCATTCATACATATTTGAAAAAGATAACAAGAAAAGCAAACTGAAATTTAGCCGTTTGTAATTTTTTTAAAATTTTAATCACATTATATTATTTTTAGATTTATATATTTCGTATATTTAAAAAAAATCCCCAGCCCAAGCAAAAAAGTTTCCCTAACTCGGCCAGTGTGGACGAGGACAAGGAACAAAAGCTTCCGAACAAGGATAGAAAAGTTAGTCTTTGGGCCTCCGTTCCGCTTCTCATGTCCATCTTTTTACTTCTGTCAGTCCCATTTATTTCGTTAACTTGTTTGTTTTTTTAAATAATTATACACTTTAATTTTATATTAAAAAATTTAATTTCTAATTTTTTAAATTTTTTATTTTTTTAAAGAATTATATTGATGATTTTCATTAAAAAAATTACTATTATATTACAATTTTTTTAAAAAAATAATTTATAAAAATATGATACTTCCTCTGTGCTAATACAAAAGGTTAAAGTATATAGTACTTTATTAGTTAATGAAAATTAAATCCCTGTGATTTTTTGAATTTTCTGAAAAACTCTGGTGGTTCTAAAATTTCAAAAACCCTACTCGTAGTTTCTAAAGTATTACAAGAAAAACCCTTCCATTAAGACTTAACGACAGTTGTATGTTATGAAATACGATTTTAGTTCATAAACTGATATCTTTATAGGAAGTTACTAAATACTCCTTTGGAAATGTACATTCTCTCATCCACCTTATTCATAGAGACTTTCGCTTATTCTTCTGCAAGTTTTTAGAAATGAATCTCTTGATTCAAATTTTTCTTCATTTTAAGTACGCTAAACACTCCAACAGGAAAATTGTGTTCTTAGAGCTACCAAAAATTGGGGGAAAATCAAACTTGGAATCGATAGCCAAATTTAGAAAACAATTAATCGAAATGTTCTCAGTTTGTTGTAGTAGACTAAAAGGACAAAATCATTGCCCCGTTTTTGTATTACAGTAATGAAGAAGAAGAATAGAAAAAGAATAAATCAAAGAAGATTGATGAGGGGGAAAGAAGAAGGATGAGGAGGAAAAAAGAAGAAATAAAAAAAAAATTGAAAAACAAAAGAAGATATAAGAGGAAGTACGAACCTAGTGCAGCTGGAGCGTGGGGAAAATTGCAAAAAATATCCCATATGTATACCCATTATCACTTTTGTCCTATATTTATGTCGTTGGCAAAATATATCCCATATATTTACAAAAATCGATACTTATGTCCTTTATCCGCGCGTGATAGTTTTTGCAATTATCTCTGCGAGCCTGTGGTGGCGGCTATGGAATATAGATGTCTAAATTGGACTAAAGTTGTATATTTTATAATAATAATATATTTATAAATTAAATTATTATAAAAAATAGAAAAGAAAAAAAAGAAATGAGAGAAAAAGAAATTAGAAGATAGAGAAAATAGATGTGACACATACAGTTCTTTTGGGATCATTATTTTTTTTTTAATATTTTTTTATGTCGATGATATGATTTTCATTACTGAGGATCAATTTTGTATATTTGATTTACTGACTACCTAGAATAATTTTTTGATATGAAGAGTCTTGATAACCTTCGGCGTTTTTTGGGTATTGAAATTTTTGATAATTCTAATGAATATTATGATATTGCTTTCTTGATCTGGTCTTACTAATTGCAAGAAAATACGAACACCACTTGACACTGGATGTCTCTTTACACCGATGGATGAGATTCCTCTTCGCTATCCTTATCTTTATCGTCATCTTGTGAGGAATTTAATTTATTTCACAATCACTTATCATGACATTGCCTACATCATCCACTTGGTTAGTTAGTTCATGACCTAACTTCACACCGATCACTACTTCATAGTTGTATATATTCTCTGTTATGTCTAGGGAATCCTATTACATGTATAATTGGGCAAGCAACCATATTGATTGTTGCTCAATAATTGATTCTCATTTTTTTCTTTGTGATTTTTGCCTTTTGGCGTAGCGAGAAGCAAACAATTGTTTCTCGTCATAACACTGATTTGGAATATTGTGCCTTTTTATGATACTTATGAGCTTTTATGGCTTCGTTGGCTACTTATCAGCATTTATGGTTTCGTTGGCTACTTGTTGGCCTTGGGGTACGTCTGTTCTCTCGTATGCTTTCCACTGCAAAAATAGAAATACTATCCAAATCCCATAAGGATGTTTTCACGAGCACACCAAATATATAAAAATTGATGGCCACCTTGTTCGTTGCTTCATCATCATGTTGGTAATGGAAACATCAGATTGTGTTCAGTCTCCTCCAATGATCAAACTGCAAATTCAAGTTCACATCATCCAGCTCACTTTTAGTCTTTCCGGCACAAATTCAAGTTGGATTCTATGACACCTATTTGAATTTGAGCCGGATATTGAAATATTTATTATATTTAAAATATTTAGTTTACTATTTAGATTTGATTTATATTATATAGTTTTATATCTAGTCTATATATAGGCCTCTAATTTTATTATTAATTAATAAGATTGTCGGAAGAAATTGAAAAAGGTGAATATGGAATAATATGAATTTGTTGGCAACAATAATTTATTTACACAACATTAAGCTAAATACATTTTTGATAAAATAAAACATCACATTAAATATTTATTTTTTTATTTTTATTTTTTAAGAACTTCAAATTAAACTTTCAAAACTTCTATATAAGAATATTAGTTATGTTTTCAAACATAAGGAGGGGGGAATCTAGAAAATAATCTTTTGAAAGATCGTTCAAATTTGGGGGTTCTTGGACAAAATTTGCATCTCGTATAATGTTGATGCGCGTTGGAGTTCGCCAAATTAATTCAATATAGGGATGGCGTGTTATAACATACTAAATGTTGTATTGTAAATATGATGTGATATATAAAAATATTTGTTGTTTACATATATATGATATATTCTGATCCGATGAAATCAGTACCATAATGATGTGACCGAATCAACATGGGATGCTTGTCCAATCATTTATATCAAGACACATCACAAGAAGTAGAGTTTGCAAACAAACAACACTAGTGTCTTTAAGATCTATTCTTCGATTAAATTAAATAATTTCAAACGACTCTTGAAATGTATGTCTTATACCCTTTCAACATTAAGTAACTCCTTAATAGTACTAAGTTATTCTAAGTATTTCTTAGTACCAAACAATAGATTCAAAATTCTTAAGTATTTCAAAACCAAGACAGTTCTAATTTCACCTTCAAATCTAAATCCATCGAACATTATAGATACATGAAGCCCAACCCGAAATTATTCAAGAAAAGGCAAACACAAGCCAACATAAGCTTCAACAAGGATACATACTACGCGCGCGCATATATATGAATAAGCTAATTACCAACTAGACAATAAGTGCGAGTTACTCGATACAACACTCAAGGAGCGATATATATCGCGACAATAGGTCCGCGCGCAATGACTGAAACAGTGTAAAATAAACATGGTATATAGCTAACAGATGATCACCAATCTTATATCTTGCCATCGAGCAATAATCAACGATGTGATAATCCATTCTCCCCCATTGTACGTGATCTCTAGCATTCGATCGCACTAGATCAGATTCATCTTGCACCAAATTCGCAAACAGGTTATTCTCAGAACAGAAAACAACAAGAGCAAAACTGATGGTAATTAAACAAAAATTATTAATCAACATATATAGGGAAAATTGCAAAAAATATACTCGAGGTATACCTAATTATTACTTTTTTCCTTTATTTATCTTGCTGGAAAATATATTATACATGTTTGCAAGAATCATTATTTCTGTCGTTTGGCCGCACGTGGGATAGCTGTTGTGTAGACATCACGTGCGGCCAAATGACATAAATGGCGCAAAAATGTAAAATATATTTTGTCAGCGATATAAATAAAAAACAAAAGTGATAATAAGGTATAAGTAGAGGATATTTTTTACAATTTTCTGTATCTCTCTAAATCTCAGCACCCTCTGCCCCAATACTCATGATGTATACATACATTATAAGCATATGCATACCTATACATACAAAAAAATGTATGTATACATATACAGTGTCGGTACAGGGGGCCGAGGATCTTCTGCCAGTGAAAAGTGTTTCTTACTCTATTTCGGAGATTATATGCCGAAACCAGTAATTTTAACAACCAGTGCATCGTTGCCGAGGCTCTCTTGCTCTTCTAATATGTTTCGAGCTGAAACAATGGCTGACTTGGAGCAATATTGCACCCCTAAAAACCTTAGTGTCGCGATTTCTCCAATATCGAGAGGTATTTCATTCAACTCTGTTAACCGAGAAAGATTAAGTACTTCGAGGCGTGGGAAATGGGAGCTGTCGGCATTCCAGTTTTTTAGATTAACTTGTTCCATGTACAAGGTGTCCAAGCTAATAAATTCCCCCTCGACAGGATTCCACTCGGCGCCATGGAAGTAACAGTTTTTCAACTTCAGCACTTCGAGTTTGGGTAATGAACCGATCGCGCTAACATCTTCCCAAAATCCGCAGCGATATAAAGACAACTTTGTAAGGGAATGTGGGAAGGATACAGTCTTGTACAGTGTATTTACACTCTTCATTGCTCCTTTGAAAGAGCATTCGAGTGATTCGAGCTTCTGTAAACGACCAAGATTATGGAGACTGTACTGAGATGTCGACTCCACATTGTGTGCACTGTAAGCGACAATCATTTTCTTTAGATCGCGGATTTTCTTCACAACCACTTCATCGAATTTGAAGTCTTTCAATCCCTTTAGTGTCCACAAGTTTTCAAGGACTATAAAACCATGTAGTTTCTGTTCATCATGCAGTGGTTCCGGGGGAGAGATTTTGTTGATATAAACATGATGAAGTTGAGATAAGTTCCAAATTTCGGATGGCGCAATTATTTTCTCCGGAAAACTCTTAACGATAAGAACTTGTAGATTCCTCATTCGATGCATAGAAGAAGCCAATGTTTCATTGAATCTTCTATCGGCTATACAATCAAGGTACCGTAGATTGACAAGACTAAACAAAATATCCGAGGGACTTTTGTGCTTGCTCAAATATTCCATGAATTCTTCATCTATCACAAAGATTGCTCTCAAGAATCCGAATAGATGAGTTTTCAAAATTCTTGACCAATCCACATTCATTCCCGACTTGAGCAAACGCTCGAATAATGCTGAACGTAAGGACTCAAAAGCATCGGATCTCAAAATCCTCCACAACACCTTATAGTTGTTTACAATGAGAGAGCGCGGACGTGATGTTGATAGCAAGGAATTGATATTCCGAGGATATTCTTTCTTGTTTACTCTAAGAGCAATACGACGATGAAGCTTCATGTCCGCTGGAATGTTGTCAGAGCGATTCGCTGTTATAACACAAAGAAAGTTCTCCTTTTGAGCTTCCCGCAAGCTGAGTTCCCTCAAGACATCATGGATCGCGCATGATTTTAAGTTCCCAGTCGATCCCCACTCGCGAAGTATAATAAGATTCCTTTCGATAAGATCCAACAAGCAAAGCTCAGCTATTTCTTCTAGCATAAAGCCTTTACGTGGTTTCAGAAATCCCTCGGCAATCCAAACATTTATGAGTTTAGACACACGAATCTCGTAGTCTTCTGGAAATGCCCCCATATAAAGAAAACACGGTTTGAGATGAACAGGCAAGTGGTTGTAGCTCAAAGAAAGTATTTTTGAGCAATGTTCGCCATCATCTATATATGCGGCAGAGGTAGATTGTTCGGCAACATGTGCCCAATGTTCTATTGTTTGATCACCCTTTGCGAGGAGCCCTCCAACAACAACAATCGCTAGAGGAAGTCCTCGGCAATTTCGAGCAATCTTCTTTCCAACATCTAATAATTCAACGGGACAACTACTTTCGCCAAATACTTTTTTCCGAAGTAAATTCCAACTATTGTCCGCATCAAGATACTTCATCTCAACTCTACAAGTGCTTAGCTCTTCCGCAACATTAGAAAGCCTAGACGTCACTAAAATTCGACTTCCATCACAACAATCCGGGAAGAACTGTTGTATACGATTCCAAATATCAATACTCCATATATCATCGAGCACTATTAAATATCTTCTACCGAACAAACTCTTGTGCACTTTTTCTCCTAAACTTTCACCATCCCCTTGGTTTGTTAGATTCGAAAGTACTCCTTTAAGAACTTCCTCGACATTATACTCTTGAGACACCGTAACCCACGCATGAACATCAAAATGTTCTACAATTATCTGATCATCGAAGATGTTTCTCGCAAGTGTAGTCTTACCTGCCCCGCCCATCCCAACTATAGGGACAACTGCCCGGGAAGGCTTCAAATCGAATGACGTAAGCATGACCATGACTCGAGCTCTTTCATCCTCAAATCCGACCATTTTGCTCGTCTCGTCGCGTGGAGCACTTGATGAAGCCGTAAACATGGTGCGATGCAGATCTTCGGCTTCGCCCTTCTGTCTGTTAGTAGCATTTGATGAACTACCATGCTCGGAACTCTTCTCTTTAATCTTCTTCACCTCATTTTTGATACAATCCATCTCTTGTGCTGCTTTTCGCAGATCTTCATATAAGATTGCCAGTCCATTCTCTTCTTGAAAATTGTCGCTGGTAAGAATTCGATCCATCATGTAGGAGTCGATGGCATCTTCAGCTGCATAGGCTGCATCGACAATTCGCTCGTCCAAATGCTCTGCTCCCTTCCTCCCACTCTCGAGAAATTTTACCAAGAAATCAGCCCTTTCTTGGAGAGCCTCGATCAGTCCTCCCTTTTCAATGGAGATCAGACGGCCGCGGTGATTTCGCGGGGTCTGCTCCATAGCGATGGTGTTCATAAGAGAAACTAGAGCTGCATACGCTGCCATTTTTCAAAAGCTTTCTTCTTTGATCGATTCTATTGTTGATGGGAGAATTATTTCTTGCAGAAGACTTGTTTGGCTGAGTTTATACTGAATTATTGGTGGGACAGGACACGAGAAATATAATTAAGGGGCCATAGGAAGTCTTCGTAGAGTCATCCATGTATGTCCAAAAGAAATTCCAACATGCCACTAGTGGAAATTAAAGTGGAAACTGCTCTACTTAAACACCATTCACATCTTACCAAATCTACACATCGTAAAAATGAGAATGGTTAGTTGGGGTGACAATTGGGGCGGGTATATTCCCAGATCCGCCACGGCCCAGTAGTTAATGGGTTGGATTCGGGTTAAAATTTTTAGCTAAAATTTATAATTATAAATAGAAATATTATATATTTTTATAATTATTTATATTTTCTTAAATATCTATATATAAATATATTTTAGAAAAACAAGGTGGATTTGCACCGACGTAGATTTTTGGGTAGGGTTGAACTGTTAGGACCGAACCAACTACTCCAGAATGTGGAGTTATATGTATATATATATATATATATATATTTATATGACACTTATAAGATGATAATATTTTTTATAATTTTTCAACGTGAAACTTGAGTTTGGACTCCAATTTAAATTGTGGCGGGCACGTTCTAACTTGTGATTTGCAGGCAAGACAGGTTTGGAGGCCTATAAAACCTATCCCAATCTGCCCCATTGTCATCCCTAATGGTTAAAGCACTGAATAGTTAAATGATAATATTGTTAGAGTTTTAACCTATTCTTGATATAACTTGTTTTGTGTGTTTAAATGTAATATATTACATAGGTGTAATGTAACTTTCTTCAAGAAAGTTTGGACTTGCTTTCGATATGCTTGTGAATGGATAGAGACACATGGCTTGTAACGTGTCAGGACAAACTAAAAATGAATGGTAGATTCGTGTGTACATTACCTTCATATATTCAAATGAGTTGAAAGGTTCAATCCTAGCTATACTTGATTTTTGAATATTTGAAATGTGTGATGTACTAAGATGAAAATTCAATCTTCGAGATATTTTCATTTATGCATGATTATATGGTGTATGAATGTATTATATGTGATTTAAGAATTACGATAAAAGGGGGAAGATTGTTGGAATTTTAGCGTATTCTTGGTATAACTTATGATGTGTTTATGTGTTTAAATATAATTTATTATATGGGTATAATGTGAAATGACAATGTAATAGAATGTATATAGGGGAAGACTTAAGTGTCCCATTGCTCGAATGAAGAGATCTTTTAGTCATAACCATGACTAAATTATCAATCAAGAATTGCAAAATTCCAGCATGACATAGGTCATTTAGTCATGACCACCACTAAATTACCTGTCCAATAAAAGGTTTTGAATAAAGATTATTATGTCTTTTTTGAAAGGGTCTCCGTATTTTTATAAATACAGAGATTAATCTGGATTGGAAAGTATAAGAAAATGAGATAAGACAATTCTTCTTCACAACACATTAAAACACATCATTGCATATTTACAATCATTCACCTTATTTCTTTTGTTTATCTATTTTCTTTATTTTATTGTCTGAAATCAATAATCAAATCTTTGTATTATCTCAATACAAATTTTGTGTAACTCTGAGGCAAATAAAGATCGAAATATTATATTCGAAAAGTGAACTCCATACTATACAAAGATCTGTCCATATATATTCATTGAAGATCTTGGTTTTTGTATCTAGTACCAACAAATAGTATATTGTATGATATTATATATATATAAAAGATGTTTTTAATAAGATATTTTAATATAATAATTTAAATAAAAAATAAAAAATAGACTATTATTTCTTACTTTCTCCGCATTTTCCTATGTCCACCCATCGACAAGAAGGGTCATTTATTCATACCCATTTCTCATTTATGAGCCTTAACCGTTCGTTAACAAATAAGTTAAGACAAAAATATAATTAATAAAATAAAATAAAAGTCGAACCCTATACATATTGGCTGGCTGAAGCTGGGGGAATGTGATGTGCAACACAAATCTAATTACAAAATGATGTCTACAAAATAACAATCAATACCAAGGCTGCAATATTTTGCTTCATCAAGTGTTAAAGACTAAATAAATATTAAAGAGATATGTTATACGAAAATATCCCCTATTTCTATTTTAGTATATAGACAACCATTTACAACGTTAGTGTAGCTCAAAAATAACAAAAGAATTTTTATTGTTGCTGCACAATCATTTTGTCTTATTTCATCTGAAGCCCTAAAATGAATAGGTTAAGATGGTCAAACCGATGTCAAGTGTGCAGAAAAAAACCCTATACTATTTTGGTGAAAATGAAAAATTAATGGCTTCATTTTTTAGAGTCAACAATGTGGCTGTTTAATTAATCAAAGACAAAAGGTTGATCAGGGAATGTAGTGAGAGTCCAACTTTCTAGAGTGAGTAATTATCTTCGTGCTCTCAAACTTATCCCACGTTCTCTCCGTGTTCTAAACAAGGCTATTTTATTCTAACTCGCTGGAGGAGTTACCAGGGGAAAAAGTTATTGGAGATCCAATCGGAGATGGTGACCAGCTGTTGAGTTGCATTACTCTCAGCTAGTTGAAAGTTGCTGGTGTTTTTAAGGTCTAGTAACGACTAGTTACTTGTACAACATTTGCAAGATAAGCTATGAAAGAGGAAATAAATTGAAGGAGGTTTAGTTGTTGAGTCCTATAATCAAAATAGATTATAGTGATATTACTCTTGTATTAGTATTCTCACGTATAAATAGGTTATAACCAAACTGAATTAACAAACTCTTGTGATCATTTATTGCTTCCGTGCTTCTGCATTTATCTCATTAATATAGAATTACAATTATTGTGAATTTACCATGATGTAATGTCTTGTTTAAATATGGATCATTACACTACTATGCATTTATTCGGGAGTTGGCCCTTTTTGTAGTTTGATTGAACTTGTTCGTGTTGGGTGTGTGTGTGAAAGAGAGGAGAAAGGAAATAAGAGTTTTGTGTCCCAAACGAGGAACACAAACCATCTCACCTCATTATAGTAATTTCTCACTCCATTTTTTTCTACTAGGATTTCCACTAGGATTTCCATAAACCAAAAGTTTTCTATACAACCAAATATCCTCCAAAAATTTCTCCGTTTTCCTAATTCGGTTCACAAAATCTGTAATTTCATTTAATTCGTTGCCGAATCCGCTTCAAGAAATAACAGTAGTTTATTAGTCGGTAGAAGTGTGTAAGGGGTTTTTATATTTTTATCTTTGACTTTATATATATAAAGTAATTACATCTTTAATGGTATATTTATAATTTAAAAAAAATTAATAATATTTTTTATTAATGTATGATTACTTTTATTAAAAAAAACATAAAGCCATAATTTTGAGTGGGACAAGAAATTAGTAAAAAGAGTACTTTTTGGGACTGCGAGAGTACAAATATCCTTAATTGTAACTAGTATATTCATCTAGTCAAATCAACTAATGTAACAACTCAACTAACCGCTAATTGTCAAACACTCCTAAAAAAAAATTGCCTTACCATGTCAGATTTTGTAAGATGTGAATGATGTCTATGTAAAGAGGTTTCCACTTTCAACTAGTGTCATGTTGGATGTTCTTTTAAACATATCTTATGGCCCTTAATTATTCTTCTCGTGTCGTGTCGTGTCCCACCAATAATTCAGCATAAACTCGGCCAAACAAGTCTACTGCAAGAAAGGATTCTCTCTTCAAAGATAGAATTGATCAAAGAAGACAGCTTTTGAGAAATGGCAGCTTATGCAGCTCTAGTGTCTCTTATGAACACCATCACTATGGAGCAGACCCCGCGAAATCACCGTGGCCGTCTGATCTCCATTGAAAAGGGACAACTGATCGAGGCTCTCCAAGAAAGGGCTGATTTCTTGGTGGAATTTCTCGAGAGTGGGAGGAAGGGAGCCGAGCATTTAGAGGAGCGAATTGTCGATGCAGCCTATGCAGCTGAAGATGCTATCGACTCCTACATGATGGATCTTGTTCTTCCCAACAACAATTTTGAAGAGGAAAATGCATTGGCAATCTTATACGAAAATCTGCAAAAAATAACACAAGAGATGGATTGTATCAAGAATGAGGTGAAGCAGATTTAAGAGAGTTCCGAGCATGGTGGTTCCTCAAGTGCTCCTAACAGACAGAAGGGCGAAGCCGAAGATCTGCATCGCACCATGTTTACGGCTTCATCAAGTGCTCCACGCGAAGAGACGAGCAAAATGGTGGGATTTGAGGATGAAAGAGCTCGAGTCATGGTCATGCTTACATCACTCGATTCGAAGCCTTCCCGGGCAGTAGTCCCTATGGTTGGGATGGGCGGGGCAGGTAAGACTACACTTGCGAGAAACATCTTCGATGATCAGATAATTGTAGAGCATTTTGATGTTCGTGCGTGGGTTACAGTGTCTCCAGAGTATAATGTCGAGGAAGTTCTTAAAGGAGTACTTTCGAATCTAAGAAACCAAGGGGATGGTGAAAGTTTAGGAGAACAAGTGCACAAGAGTTTGTTCGGTAGAAGATATTTAATGGTGCTCGATGATATATGGAGTATTGATATTTGGAATCGCATACAACGGTTCTTCCCGGATTGTTGTGATGGAAGTCGAATTTTAGTGACGTCTAGGCTTTCTAATGTTGCGGAAGAGCTAAGCACTTGTAGAGTTGAGATGAAGTATCTAGATGTGGACAATAGTTGGAATTTACTTCGGCAAAAAGTATTTGGCGAAAGTAGTTGTCCGGTTGAATTATTAGATGTTGGAAAGAAGATTGCTCGAAATTGCAGAGGACTTCCTCTAGCGATTGTTGTTGTTGGAGGACTCCTCGCCAAGGCTGATCAAACAATAGAACATTGGGCACATGTTTCCGAACAATCTAGCTCTGCCGCGTATATAGGTGACGACGAACATTGCTCAAAAATACTATCTTTGAGCTACAACCACTTGCCTGTTCATCTCAAACCTTGTTTTCTTTACATGGGGGCATTTCCAGAAGACTACGAGATTCGTGTGTCTAAACTCATAAATGTTTGGATTGCCGAGGGATTTCTGAAACCACGTAAAGGCCGTATGCTAGAAGAAATAGCTGAGGATTGCTTGTTGGATCTTATCGAAAGGAATCTTATAATACATCGCGAGTGGGGATCCACGGGGAACTTAAAATCTTGCGCGATCCATGATGTCTTGAGGGAACTCAGCTTGCGGGAAGCTCAAAAGCAGAACTTCCTTTGTGTTGTAACAACGAATCGCTCTGACAACATTCCATCAAATATGAAGCGTCAGCGTCGTATTGCTCTTAGAGTAAGCAAGAAAAAATATCGTCGGAATATCAAGTCCTTGTTATCTACATGACGTCCCCGCTCTCTCATTGTAAGAAAGTATAAGGTATTGTCGAAAATTTTGAGATCCGATGCTTTTGAGTCTGTGCATAGAGAAAATTTCGACCTTTCGCTAAAGCTAAGAAAGAAGGTGGATTTGTCAACAATTTTGAGATCCTATATGTTTGGATTGTTGAGAACAATCTTTGTGATCGATGAACAATACATGAGATATAGGAGAAAGCATACATCTCCATGGGATATTTTGTTTAGTCTTGTCAATTTACGGCACCTTGATTGTATAGCCAATCAAGGTATCAATGGAGGATTGGCTTATTATATGCATCAAATGAGGAATCTACAAATTCTTATCGTTAAGAGTTCTTGGAATGAAATAAATGCGCCATCCGTAATTTGGAATTTCCCTCAGCTTCATCATGTACAGATTGCCAAAATTTCTCCCCCAATACATCTGCACCGCGAAGAACAGAAACAACATTGTTGTATAGTCCTCGAAAACTTGAGAACACTAAAGGGATTGGTGGACTTCAGATTCGACGAAGGTGTTGTGAAGAAAATCCGCGATCTAAAGAAAATGATAGTCACCTACAATGCACAAAATGTGGACTCGTCGTCTCAGTACAGTCTCCATAATCTTGCTCATTTACAGAAGCTCAAATCATTCAAATGTTCTTTCAGAGGAACAATTAAGAATATAAATACTCTGTATAAGAGTGCATCCTTCCCACATTCCCTTACAAAGTTGTCTTTATATCGCTGCGGATTTTGGGATGATGTTAGCGCGATCGGTTCATTACCCAAACTCGAAGTGCTGAAGCTGAAAAAGTGTTACTTCCATGGATCCGAGTGGAATCCTGTCGAGGGGGAATTTATTAGCTTGGACACCTTGTATATGGAACAGGTTGGTCTAAGAAACTGGAATGCCAACAGCTCCCATTTCCCACGCCTCGAAGTACTTGATCTTAATCGGTTAACAGTGTTGAATGAAATACCTCTCGACATTGGAGAAATCGCGACACTAAGGTTTTTAGGGGTGTGGCGTTGCTCCAAGTCAGCCATTGATTCGGCGCGAAACATATTAGAAGAGCAGGAGAGCCTTGGCAACGATGCACTGGTTGTTAAAATTACTGGTTACAGCATATAATCTCCAAAATAGAGTAAGAAACACTCACTACAAAAAAATATCTAATTAACTACAATATTTTTAACTATCAAATATTTTTTATAGTTAAAATGTGTCATTTAGCAACAAAAATTAATTTAATTACTAAAAATATATTATGTACTACAAAATTGATTTCATTGCTGAAATATTTGTTTGCTACAAAATTATTTTTTATAGCAAAAATCATTTGCCTAAAAATATTATACATATTTTGTTGCTAAAACTCAATTTTAATTTTATAACAAAAGAGTTTTAGCTACAAAATCATATTTTCGTAGCTATATATCTTTTCTTAGCTTTCATTGCAAAAAAAACTTATTTTTTTGTTACGAAAGTCATATTTGTCATCAAAGACCTTTACTAACGCGGTATAGGGGTCGCAAAAATCTTTTTGCTATGAATTCTTACCTTTTGTTACGAAATTTTTTTTAGCTAAATTTTAACTTTCTTGGAGTGACTTTTCACTGGCAGAAGATCCTCGCCCCCCTATCCTAACACTGTATATGTATACATATATTTTTTTGCATGTATAGGTATGCATGCACATATAATGTATGTATAATGTTGAATATTGTCACATATTGGTAATATGTGGGAACTCCCCTAGTATATAAAGGCGAAGGGCCACTCCACCTATCACCAATTGGTTTTAGGTTGGATGCTCTGATCCCTTCTTAAAATTGGTATCAGAGTCATGGTGCCAGTATTGGGTTTGAATTTTGTATGGATTTTCGAGATTATCATCTCGAGGGGAGTGTCGAATATTGTCCCATATTGCTAAATGTGTGGGATCTCCCCTAGTATATAAGGGTGAAGGGCCACTCCACCTATCATCAATTGGTTGTAGGTTGGATGCCCGGATCCCTTCTTAACATATGCATCACTAGTACTAGGGCAGAGGGGCTGAGGATATATATATATATATATGTTGATCAATAATTTTTTTTTTAATTACCATCAGTTGTGTTCTTTGTGGTTTTCTGTTCTGAGAATAACCTATTGGCGTATTTGGTGCAAGATGAATCTGATCTAGTGCGATCAAATGCTTAGAGATCAAGTACAATGGGGAGGAATGGATCGTTGCATCGATCTTTGGTTATTGTTCGATGGCAAGCTATAAAATCAGTGATCATCTGTTAGCTATACAACATGTTTATTTTACATTGTTTCAGTCATTGCACGCTGAACTGTTCTCGCGATATTTCGCTCCTTGAGTGTGGTATCAAATAAATCGAACTTATTTTCTAATTGGTAATTAGCTTATATATATATATATATATGTGCGTGTGTGTGTGCTCGCGTGCGTATTATGTATCCTTGTTGAAGTTTATGTTGGCTTGCGTTTGCCTTTTCTGGAATGATTTATAGTTGGGCTTTATGTATGTATAAGGTTTGATGGATTTATATTTGAAGGTGGAATTCGAACTATCTTGGTTTTGAAATACTTTAGGCTTTTGAATCTATTGTTTGGTACTAAGAAATATTTAGAACAACTTAGTACTATTAAAGAGTTGCTTAAATGTCGAAAGGGTTGGATTCAAAATATATTGTATTGTCAAATTATAAGAAAATTAAATACATTTCAATAGTCGTCGGAAATTATTTTAGTGGAAGAATAGTTCTTAAAGACACTAGTTTTGTTTGTTTCCAAACTCGTGTCTTGTGTTCTTCTTGTAAAAAATACACACATTTTTTCAAAAAAATTATTATATTACATACCTTAAAATATTTTTATATTTTCTACACAATTTAACTCACATAAAAAATATTCATTCCAGATGCAAATTTTTTCCAAGAGCCTCTAAATATGAATGATCTTTCTGAAGATTATTTTCGCGATTTTCCCCTCCTTATCTTTGAAAACATAACTATATCTTCTTAGATAGAAGTTTTGAAAGTTTAATTCGAAGTTCTTAAAAAGAAAAAAATTAAGGATAATAAAAAATTGAGTATGTGTGATGTTTTATTTTAGCAAAAATGTATTTGGCTTGATGTTTTGTTAAATAAATTATTGTTGATTAAAAGTGTCAAAAGTTCTAAAAGTATCTATTTAGCCGAAAGATATAATCTTATTTAGACTATGTTTGAATAATATCTTGATTCTCTATTGAATTGTGATTAGAGTTTCTAAGGTTATAAATATATAGTAATTGAGCTTCTTTTGCGGCCTCTTTTTTCTTTTCGTCTATCCTATAGTTTATTTACTATTTTTTCTCTATGATGAAGAATTCTCTTGCTCCCCTATGGGTTTTTTCATCTTGTATTTTTCCAGTAATTTGAATGTGTAATATTCATCTTTGTTTCTTGCATTCATACGTTCATGCAATTTTTATCAGAATTCTTCAAATCAGAGGACGTTTATATTAATTCCTAGGAACTTTCATTGCTGCCAATAATATCAAGTTATTCCATGTTTACTTTTTTCTTTTTTTAATTTCTTCTGCTTGCGACAATCTTTGTTTGCATTATCCCCGACAGCGTGACACTGTGTTTTTAAGACAGTTTCGTCAGTATGGAGAGTACCAGCGACGAAGGTAGGATCTCGACATTCAAGTAAACTAGAAAATTTAAAACAGGATGATTCAAAATTTCGACATCTACAGCTGGATTAAATGCTCTTCATAATGCTTATGCCATGAAAACATCAAAAACAATTTTTGTAGCATTAGCTACAGACTTACACCATAGGGAGGAAAACCTCCCAAAGGCCTGCCACAAATAGAGAAACCACTGCAAAGAACATCTTGCTTAAAATTGATCAACATAAAACCATTCATTTATTGTGTAAAAACATAGGTCTTAGTCGTCGGTAGATACACCACGAGCCTGGTAAATAAATTTCTGGCCACAATAATTACAAGAAAATGCACACATATATATGGTAAAGTAGACAAGACTGGCATATCAAGCAAGGAAATTTTTTAAAGAAATTTTTAAATTTTTTGGCAAAGTACTTCAATTTCTTTGATATTGAGCTTCGTAATTTCATTAAATATGAAGACTAGTGTTTTGGGGACTCCCTTTAGCGGATAAATATATTCATGATATACTTTATTGATAGTTTGAGCTTTCAGGTGAGTCGGTTATTTTCTATCTCTATAGTATAAGTAAAAAATAAAAATAAAAATGTCACTCTAAGATAGAGGTGATCAAACTAATTAAAATCAAAATATCGGATCCAATCGAAATTTAAGATTTTTTTGGATTGAGAATTTTTTAATTTTGAATTTTCGAATTAGTTTGGATTAATATAGTGAGAAATTTGAACAAATTCAAAATCCGAAATATACTAAAATATTATATTACTACCTTTATCCAACAACAATAGTACATTTTTTTTATCTTTGAATATTAATTATACATAAAAATGTAAGTACAAATCAAAGGGAAAAGACAAATATTTATATTATTACCTTATAATACAAATAAAATAATATTGGTACGATAAATTATATAAATATAAAAATATTTTTGATACTATAATGACACAGTAACTTCGTTATTAGACGGAATGTGTGTTATATGCAGTATTCTCTCGGTGAAATTTATGTGGACACATAGACTCATTCTTAAAGTAGATAGATAAAAAATAAAATTGGAGTATTATATAAAATTTATTAAAATTTAATAGAAAAAAAAAAAAAAGTAGTAATAACAGAAAAGTACTGGTTAAATTGTTAATATCTGTAAAAATAAACATAATAAGATTGTGAGTGAAAAAAATTAAAAAATAACATAACGCTTACTAAATAAAACATACTGCAACACTCAAATGTAGTATTAATTAATCACCCTAGTATCTAAATTTTCGAAACAGGTTCTATTGTCATCTTCTTCATCTCATATTGAAACTTCTCCATGGCCATCGATGGCAAGCATATGGGAACTACAACTCCTTTTTCCCCTTCACCATTCTCTCTATAATTTCCGTAGACACTAATCTCTGGCGTCGCCCACGGAATCCCCCCTAACCGGGCATTTCCCCATCCAAAATCGATATTGTCGAGCCCCAAGCTTCGAAAGTCCGATACAATGAAGTTCCATGCTTCCACGTACTTTGGCCTTCCTTTTATCACCATAAGATCCGCGACAGACTTCACATACTCTTTGCTCAATTTAAGTTTTGCCCTCCGAATCAAGTCCGCGCCATATGACAATGGCGATGCACACAAAATGTTAGCCTTTGATATCGCCGCGGGATAAGCAATTGCATTGCCATAGTATCCTCGTGGCATGCGCAATCCAAACTTTGGATCGCGCACGTTGGTAAGAATTGAAATACGGACTATGTCGTCCGGATGTGGTTGGAGTGCCGCCGTGCGACAGTTCCACAAGCATGCGGTTATCAAGTCGAACATTGAGGATGTTGGAAGTTTGTTAGAAAGGGCTTGGATTTCTTTCGGGCCAAAAAAGACTGATGTGAGAACAAAAGTGTTGTAAGGGTACACGAGATTGCGCGGTGGATTTTTAGTGTATGAAGGGGTTTTTTGAGCGTATTCGTTGTGTACACATGTGATCTTTGGCGGAGATCTTGCGTTGAGAACTTCCCGCTGCCAGACTGGCGGCACAGACAGCGCCGCCGCGCCTTTTGCCAGCTCGCCGATTGTGTTGGATTAAAAATCCAATTGTGGGTTAAATGTAACTATTTGGGCTATCAGTCACATTAAGCCTATATTAAGTGATCTATAAATTTATTGGGCTTAAATATATTTAGTAAGTGCGGACCTCCAATGTGCAGAAACCCGGTAAATTATTAATTGGGTGATGAGGTCAATTAATAATAAGGGATATAAATAGGGTTGTGATATCTAGACGCGACATCCATTACGTTCCATATCTCATTGTGGGAGTAACGGCAAAAACCCTAGCGGTTTTCTCGAGAGGGATTACGCCATAGGCTTGAAGAATACAAACCCTCCATTGTTGGCAGATCCGAATTCGACTATGCTAATGGAACAAGGTCAGATTTATTTTGCTTTATTTTTATCTCAATTATGATAATACGGTAGATCCTGGGTTTAGGGTTAAATTCCTGACCAGTTCTAACAATTGGTATCATAGTCTTTCTGTGTTAAGTTATTGAGATATTATATTAGATAAATCATTTGGAATCAGATCTATCCCTATGCGAATTTAATCCTCTGTATTGTTATGTCTGATTAATTTAAATATGCGTGCAAAATTTGGCCATGCATCGATTTTCCTGTCTGTTTTCAATTTGAGGGTTGGTTATTGAAATATAGAGGATGTTGCATATAAATATATATATATCCAATGACCACATGCGACTTGTCAAATTTCACAGTGAAAATATTAATGACAACGCATTGCTTTCTGCGGATATTTGGGTATCCTAATTAAATCATCTAATTATTTAATTAAACATAGTTATTTAATGGAGATTAATTAAGACAAATCATCTGCTTCCACTCGCTGTGTGATGTTTGCACTGATTTTAGTATCTATTGATTAATTAATTATTTAGTTTAATTATTGATTGGTGTATAACGGAATCAGTTTAATCATACACACATTATTTGATCAAATAGTCATTAAAGTTTAATTGGAATAAGGTAGGTTAAAGTCCAATTTGTATATGTGTGATTTGGTATTGGATTTTGTTATCCAAGAAATCGTTGGTCAAATAGACCGTGCGTATAAAGTTTACATTGTTTAATGTTTAAAATCTTGATTTGATCATTTGATTATTTAATTGTAGAATAAGCTAGCATACATGAATTGGCATACATATGCATTAATGTATCTATAATTAAATTCAATACCTTAAGGAGTGTATATTTATTTATTTTGCTTCTAATTCAATGAATCAGTCTGCAACTCTATATACACTTTACGCATCTGTTGAAAATTATTTGTATGCATGAACGATTATGATTACAGTTCCCTACTTTATAGAATATGCAGTAATATTTTGGCTCATTCATTTAGAATTAATTTTCTAGAATCTGGATTGATGTCTTTCTTGAGTGTGCAATTAATTGAAATATAATGGATTGGTTCGATGATATGGAAATATATAGGTGTGAAAAGTATTGATATTTATGCATTACATCAAATCGACATTCTCTACTAAAATTTGCAATGTCTATTGCTGGTGTGGCTAATTACTTTTATTGGAAATTCAGAGATTATTTCCATGAGTGCAAACTATATTGATTTATTTATTTTATTGTTGAATTTATGGAACAAGTCAGAATTACAGATTTCTTCTGATTTGTTTAAAATCCAATTAAATTTGGTATACCATAGCATGTGTTCTTTGCAGTATGCATTTGTTTAAATTCGACTATAATTATTTGGTGTATTAATTTATAGTCTCTTTGGGTGGCATATTTTGCCTATATAATTCCGCTGCATTTAGTCTTTCTTGGACTACTTGATTATTTTAATAAGTCCATCAATTAATTGCTGTTGTTATAGCTTTCATATGTATTGAACATACATAATTCATTTAAGGTGAATTTAATTAGCAATAAATAATATAATATATTTCAGGAATTGGTTGAAACAGTTATGTTGCCAAAGCAGCCTCTGTTGTGTATATCAGTTTATTTTGTGTATTAGAAAGTTGTGTTTGTGACTTATAAGGCTCCTGATTGACCCAAAGGCAACTCAGCCATTAAGTAGTTACATACATGTTTAGTGACATTAAATGTGGTGATGATAATTTTGATTGTTTGTGTGTGGATAATAGATCTGTCCAAAGATAGGGTGTTGTTTAACACACTACTGTATTGTCACCATTCGATTGTCAAAACAAGTCTATTACTATTGAGTCAGTAATTTGTCCAATAACATTTGTTGATGTTGCTTGATAACTTGAAATATAATTGCTACTTTATTTTATAAATTCACATACGAAACATTCCGTAGCTTATAGACATGTGCATTCAGTTGCTTTTAAGCATTCTTATTTTTTTATGGAATCAGACTCATATACATTGAACGTGATTCTGATTATAATTTAATTTAAGAAAATTATAAATTCATTAATAATGCATGCTGCATTTTGAAGGTGAAGATCAAGTATTTGACGTTGCCAAAGTAACCTCTCTTATATGAGATCTTTTCTTGATAACGTAAGTGTTTATGTGTATTTTAATTCATGTGATTATTCTTCGGCCCAAAGGCAGTCGGTAATTGACAGAATGAAATATACATCTGCGATAATATGTATGGGATGATTATATGGATTTAACTTATGTGAATAGTAAATCAGTCCAAAGATTGGTTGTTGTTTGACATTACCTTATTATTCGTATATGATTATTGCAACAAGATGACTGCTAGCAATCAATGTTATTGATCCAAAGATTGATCATTGATGTTGCATTTAGTGTCTTGGGATGAGAATGCATTATTATTGAGCTTCATTATGATTCACTTGGTTACATGAATCATGACTTGGCATTAATAATAGACCAACTCACTCATACGGTGAAAAACACTGCTCATGAAGGACAGTTGTTTGAGAAGTGGGATAGGTCTAACGCTAAGTCTAATTATCATTAAGAAAAGCACTCCATAAATTTTAGGAGTACAATATATGATGATGATATGGATTCCTTGTCGAAATTAAGAAACGCTTTACCAAAAGCGATAAGGCAGAAATGCGTACTCTTCTTAATAGTCTCATTACCATAAAGTATATCGACAAACATAACATAAGGGAGTACATCATGAATATGTCTACTATTGCTACTAAATTGAGGGCACTTAAGTTAGATATTTCGGAGGACATGTTTGTTCTATTCGTCTTGCTCTTGAAATTAATTTAATTTAAGTTCATAGACACACCTGTGGGTGAATTTTGGTGTAACAACTCACATCAGTGTGTCTATGCAAGATTATTTCTATTGTCGAAATCAATTGGTGTTAAAAGATACATCTATATGGGTGACGATAAGAAAGTTCAAGTTGAAGTCATTGACAATTATATATTATTATTGAGTACACGTTACTATTTGAATTCGGATGAGACATTTTTTTTATGGTAGCATGTTCAATCAAAATTTAATTTTCATCTCTATTTTGAACAAATTCAGTTATTAATGTTCATTCGGATATAGAGTTTTGTCTCTTCCAGAATTCAAAATTAGTTGGAACTAGTACATCATTTGATGATAATAATCATCATTTGGTTAATAGTTTACTTCATATTATGAATTAGTTATTGAACATTTTCGTACAGCTTTGATGATTGTGGATCCGCTTTATTACTAAAGGGTTTCCACATAAGTTCTATAATGAGCATATTGCTCATATTAGAGTGGAACCATATAAGGTACTTCGGTTTAGTGGGAGCTAATTAGTAGTGTTCAAATACTATTAAAGTTACTTTAGTTTACACTGCACAGTTCAGTATTCAATGTTCAATATTCAGTGTGCAGTATTCAGTTTTAATTCAGTATTCAGTTATTCTGAATTAAAGTTAAGGTGGATCAGTTGGAAATAGGCATGTTAAGATCACATTACATGAAATTTTCATGCTGTGTATCCGTACTTGATCGAATATTAGGTTATATTAGTGTTGTGACCACTGATCGGTCCCATTGCGATAAATGCAGTGACGACCGCTTTGATCCGCATTGACGTGACTTATAGATAAGGTTGTTAATATACATTAAGGATCTGATAGCAAAACATTCATGAGCTCATAAGGTTATTCAGTGTACATTTACCCAAGTGGGAGATTGTTGGATTAAAAATCCAATTGTGGGTTAAATGTAACTATTTGGGCTATCAGTCAGATTAAGCCTATATTAAGTGATCTATAAATTTATTGGGCTTAAATATATTTAGTAAGTGCGGGCCTCCAATGTGCAGAAACCCGGTAAATTATTAATTGGGTGATGAGGTCAATTAATAATAAGGGATATAAATAGGGTTGTAATCCCAGGTCTAGACGCGACATCCATTACGTTCCATATCTCATTGTGGGAGTAACGGAAAAAACCCTAGCGGTTTTCTCGGGAGGGATTACGCCATAGGCTTGAAGAACACAAACCCTCCATTGTTGGCAGATCCGAATTCGACTATGCTAATGGAACAAGGTCAGATTTATTTTGCTTTATTTTTATCTCAATTATGATAATACGGTAGATCCTGGGTTTAGGGTTAAATTCCTGACAAGTTCTAACAGATTGCTGTTAGAAACTGCATTAGACCAGCACCATCTGCTATGGTGTGGTTCCAAAAAATGCCCAAGGAAAATCCTCCACAGATGAATCTTGTTACCTGCGTTCGATTTAAGAATAACTTGATTATTACATATCAACAAAACAAGTTTATCTCTGGTTGTATCTTGTGTTTTGATAATAGTATGAAATAATTATTTGATGTTTTTTTCATAGAAAAAGGTACTCTAGATGTTACAGTAGAAACAGATGGTGGAAAATAGAACCAAACAAACTTGTATATCTTCGATCATTTAAACTATATACAAAACTTGAAGCCATTACTTAAACAAAATCGCCATGTCACGGGCAAGGAGGATAAATACTACCAAACTAAACTTGCCCGTGGACGACGACAATGTTAGATGATGTAAATTATTGTCTCACCTAAAACTTTAACAAGTAGGGATACACATCATTTATATTTATATCAAATCCAAAAGAACAATAATGATCGATGTCAATGTAGGAATAGAGAGAGGTAGCCAAATAAGCCAAAAAACTTAATATAAATGGAAACTAGATATTTATAGATTCGAAAACTTTAAAGTCTAAAATAAGCCGAAAATAAGAATTTTAAAAAGCCTGGGAAGGAGAAAACTGCCGATTTCTTATAGTAAGAATTCTAAAAAGCCTGGGAAGGAGAAAACTGCCGATTTAATTTGAAGTCCTAAGCGATTTCGAATAGACAAAAAGCATCGAATAACATAGAAAAGCGATGTGTTTGCTCGTTGGGCCATTTCAGATGAACCGTGTGAAATTCATCTAATTACAAGCACAAACACAAAATGACAAAAAATTTAGTACATTTTTTTTTTTTTGAACTTTTTCGAATGCGCGCTCTGGGTAAACCTCCGAACGAACCTAATAGCCTGCAAACTAGGTCCGGCAAGATAAGTCACACTAGGCGAACTATGTATGACATGAAAGATCTCGAGGCGTTAGAAGTTTGAACCTTTGACTTCACGGTCACGAATTCATCTCATACCACCGAGTCATCCCTTATGGGACAAAATAACAAAAATATTTGATTGGGAACTCGGTGGCAATAGTTGTTCCCTTAAAAGTGATAGTTGAATCGCGACGAATAATATTCACTACTAGAAAAATGTCATTTTGTCGCAGTTAAAATTATTGCGGAATGCATCTACTTCTGCAACAATTTTAACAAATTGCCGTTCCGCTTCGGATTTTTCATGCTTATTATGATTGTTGCAGAAGACTGCAACAAATTGTACGAAAAGTTGCAACAATGACTATATCCAATTATCATTATTTGCATAGTTAAACTTACTTGAAAACGAAGGAGAGGGGTACCAACGATGGTATCCGAGCCAGGTACATTAGCCAAAAGCTTCTCCAAGAATGGGAATCGCGGCCGAAGCCCATCTCCGAGCTGCTTGAGCTTTACATTTGCTTTGGCTTCGATGAACAAAACCCCTTCATTATTACAAACAATCATGAGTTTCCGGTTCTGCCCTTCAAAGACCCTGCTAGAAAGCGGATAGAAATCATGAGTTTCCGGTTCTTCCGTGTTCTAAGTAAAATGTTCGAGTATCTTCCTTACATATTGGACAACTCATAAGCCCAGCTGTACTCCAAGAAGAAAGCATACCATATGCTGGAAAGTCATTAATTGTCCACATAAGTGAAGCTCTCATTCGAAAATATGTCTCTATAGAAGCGTCATATGTTATTTCTCCTATCTCCCACAACTTTTTCAACTCTTCAATTAAAGGTTGTAATATACACATCAATTTTACATTTTGGATTTGTAGGGCTGGGAATTATCAACAAAAAAACATATATTCACTCTTCATACACATACCTGGAGGTAAGTTATAAGGTGTGACAATAATAGGCCAACAAGAATATTGTTTTCCATATGATCCATTCGGACAGAAGCCATCCGCACATAATCCTAGCCGAACATTTCTTGCCTCAAGTGAAAATTCCGTATGCACACAATCAAAATGTTTCCATGCTTCACCATCAGAGGGGTGACATATGTAACCATTTTCAGTAACATGTGTGAAATGCTACGTCATATGTTTTGCCGTCTATTTAGAAGCATGTAACCTCTGCAATCTAGGGGTTAATTGTAAATATCTCAATCGTACAAAAGGAACCTTCTTCCGTCGAGGCTTATTTCCTTTGGGCGCTTTATAACATGAATGCCCACAAAATTTGCAACGGTGCATTAACTCATCTTCTTTCCAAAACAACATACAACCATTTTTGCAGCAATCAATTTTAATAAGTGGTAACCCCAGTTCACGTATCATTTTCTTTGTTGCATAATAATTCGATGGCAACTTATGATCCGAGGGCAATATTTCACCAATAATTTGCAACAAATCATTGAAGCAATTTTGTGGCATATTATAATCAGCCTTTATGCTCACTAAGCGAGCAACTACAGATAATTGAGAATGTGTCTCACAACCATTCCACAGAGGATGATTAGTTGCACATAGAACATCTTTGAACTTGTTCAAATGTGCGTAATTGTTAGACTGTTCAAGTCTAACATCTCTAGAGGATTCATCTTCATTCAAACATGTATCTCTCCAACCATCTACTATATTAGTTTGATCTATGTTCATTGGCGCCCTAATAATGTCATGCAACATTCTTTGTTCCTGATTTGAGTGATGATGATGTCTTAATGGTGTTTCCGGTCGATCATTAAGGACAAAATTTCTTGGTGGACTATCATTCTTTTCTGGTTCTCCTTGATATATCCAATTATAATAATTTTCTATGAATCCCTTCCTATATAGGTCCACTTTAACTTCTTCCGGGGCAATATATTTTTGGTTTCTGCATTTGTGACAAGGACACCTAATACAATCTCGATCCATATATGCTACTTGTTTTTTTGCCCTTTCTATAAATTCTTCAATGCCCGATATAAACTTAGGTGTAAGACCTTTACGCCCGGGCAAATTTTTATTATACATCCATGCTCTTGTTCTTTGAAACATATTGAGTTCTGATATGTATATATATACATACATATATATATTGGCACAAAAATATAATAGAATATTAAAAGATTGAAAATAAAAAATAATAATAATAAGATAAACAATATAAAAAATAATTAACATGTATAAGTTTATATTTCTATAAATATGCTTAATTTACTTTTTTTCAAGCTAATGTGCATAAACCAATCTAAATATAAAGACTTCTGTTGGGATTGGTTTCCATTCGATCCTACCCAAAAAAGTAATCCAACCCAACCCGATCCAAACTCACCCAACCCGACCAATTTGATTTTAATTTTATTTTAAAATCAAATTTGGCTCAAATTAAGTCAATATGTATCTATCCATCGACTTTGTTCTTCCTGTAAGAAAGAGAGGATACTGAATTTGTTTTGTTTTTTGTTTTCTCTTACTCTATCATCCCAAATCAAAGCTACAATTAGAAACTCATCATAGAATCACTTGATAGTATTTTGCATCAAGGCTTATATTCATGTCTCCAAGGATGAGACATCAAAGATACATAGATGGTAAGAGAAAATAATGCATTTTTGTGGGTTATGATCAAGATAAGTTTTATTATAAATTATAATCACGTGTTTTTGAAAAAATAAAACAATTGATGGCATGAAAATTGTAAACTCTTATGCTCAAAATAACTTTGTCGATAGCCAAATTCTGTAACACAATCGCCTATGAGAGGTAATGAAAGCAATAATCACGATGATGATGCTCAATGTATTATAGATATTGATAAGAATTGATTTCGATTCTTTTGCAAGTGATCACAACAAACTTCATTCAGAAAATTATTCGGACCAAACAATCGTCTACTAGATATTCTACTGAAAATTATATACTTCTAGCTGATAAAGCCTAAAATTATATATATAGCATTGGAGTTGGTCAAACTGCTAAGAAAATTATATATATAGCATTCCATTGAAATGAAACTCCATATAAAAATTAACATTCGAGTTGGTCAAACTGCTAAGAAAAAATAAATAAGTCAATAAGCCTTAAAGAATATGTAAATCTAAAGAATGATGCTTGAAGGGTGTTCATCAAAACTTATGTGCGGCTTTGCATTGTCTTATTGAATATGAATTATTTTACTTCACCTTTCAATTACTTTACTATTATCAGGGCGTCTCGGACTTTTATGGAGTCCCGAGCGAAAATAAATTATAGGTCATATATACACATGATTAAGATATATTTTAAAAATAATATTCCACTGATTGACGTCGATTGGACAAGAGGTTGAATAAGACATGTGGGAAATATTGATTTGAGAAAAAAAAAAATGAAAAACGGTCGGTCCGAAAGTTCGAAAAGTGGGAAGGACTGAAGGGGGTGAAAGAGAGAATGTGAGACCGATTTGGTCTAATTTGGTAGGCACATTGCGACAGGGTGTGAGGTAAAGAAGTGTAGACGATTAAATTTGGAAAGATACGATGAGACATGATTAGAAATAAAGTGATAAAATATATATATATAATTATAGTTTAAATTTAAATTTAAGAATTAAATTGGATAATTATAAAATATATATATATATAAACTAAAAGTTAAAATTTAATTTTAAAATTTAATAATAATAATAGTGGATAACATTTTAAAAAATAAGCCCTAAGCAGTTGTTGACCCTACTCTTGCTACGGGTCACCCTAACTATTATTACTTGAATTGCATACAATGATGATCGAAAAATAATGCATATTATTTGCTATACTAACCTTAATTATTTCAAAACTCATTCAAAACTCATGAGAGCTTGAAATTGAAGGAATTTTTTATATGCATTTTTAAGTGACATGCCTAATAATTATGAGGTTTTTGTGTTTTCTTTCATGATTGAATCCAAATTATTTGTTTTTATAGTCTCGTAGTTTATTACTTCATCTGTCCTATAAAATTAGAACATTTGTATCCGACGCGAAGATTAAAAAATAATCAAAGTAAAAGAAGTAGTCTTGAGGTATTTTGAAAATTTAGTTATAAATTAAAAAAAAATAAAAATAATGATATTTATTGTAAATATGTAATACCCAATTGTTATTCTTCATTATTATTGTTGTTTTGTATTTATTTTTATTTTCGTCTTTCACATTGTATCTTTATGATTTCTTTGAATTTTACAAGTTAAATCAACTATTTTTTATGAGCCGGTTAGAAATCTCAACAATATTCAAAATATTTTTCGTTTAAATATTATATTTCTTCCGTTCGTCTTTAAGGGTTACATTTTTCTTTTACATCATTGTACTTAATGTTAAAAATATTCTTATATTTGTATAATTTTTAGTAAAAATGTCATTATGTTAGTATTATAATATATCAATTGAAGTATTTTTGTAATTTTTTCTTAATTTGTACCATGTTTTGATATAATAATTAATATTCAAATATCAATATGTAAAAAATAAATGAAACTTTTAAAACCGAACAAAGATAATATTAAAATTCTGTTTTTATTATATATTTAAATAACTATTTTAATTTAAAATTTTATTATTTTTAAAACAATTAAAAACAATAAATAAATATAGGGCTGTTTGTGTTTTGAAGGACAAACTTTGAAAAGGCCTTTTTTCTTTTTTTTTTAATAAAATAATAAAATTTTTAAAATTATAAATAAAAAAATTATAATTATTATAATTGAATAAAATATATACAATATATATATGTTATTTTGTAGATAATAAAATTTTTTATAATACAAATAAATAAAAATTTATAAATATATAAAATATATTTATATAGTATTTTATACAAATTAATACATATCTATATTATTATGGGTCTGTTGTCTATAGTTTGACCTACCAAACTGCAGTAAATTTAACTTTATTTTTTTAAAAAAAAATATTGAAATATATGTGTGTTTCTTTTGGCTAGGATTGAGAAATTTTAGTTTGGGTTTGATATCAAAATATTTGATAAGATATTTTGTGAGAAGAAAAAATATATTTTTTTCGAAAAACGCATAGTCCACATAGTAAAATTTGGAAAAATTGGGATAAAGAAACATATATAAAATTATAAGGGGAAAAAATATATATAATATATATGTCATTTTGTACAGAATAAAATTTTCTATAATACAAATAAATAAAAATTTAAATATATATATATTGGGTATAATATAAATTCATAATCAAATTATACAATATAAATTTTATCAATTAAATTTAATACATATTTATATTATTTTATTCATAATTCATCAAATTAATACACATCAAAAACTCCCAAAACTCCGACCAAACTCAAATAAAAAAAAAAAAACAATAAAATTCAAACACGTCTTAAAATTCAAATAAAAATCAAATACAAACCCAAATTTTTCGGAACCCAAAAAAAAACACATCCATAATAATCAATTTTTTGCACTTTCCATATGAAGTGACGTGACGTCTCCTCCTCCACCTATAGCCCATGTGATTATTAATTGTCTCTATCTCGAAACCCAAACTTAATGCTCATAATAAAAATAAAATATATTTGTAATATTTTTATGTTTACATTCTTATTTTATATAAAATAAAATTATTTATATTCAATAAAAAATTGTTATATCCAATAATTATATTACTTCAAATTAATATTTTTTTAAAAAGAATTAAAATACAATACAAATTATTATCTTTATATTATTTACATAAATATATCGAATTTTTCCATCATCATCAGAGGACAACATATATTCCTTCCAACTGCCGCAGTACCTGTCCCGACCCCCATTCTTTAATTAATGGTGCACATATTTTTCTAAATTAAATATTTATTTTTATTTATATAAAAAATTCTTTTTTATTTGAAATATTACTTCAAAATTATTTTCATTTTATTTGTTTAATATAAATACTACTGCCTCCGTCACACATAATTTGTTCCTATTTTTTATTTTCGT